AAGGACGTTTGAATTGAAAATTTTAATTGGTGGACCAAAATGATATTTGAGAAATAGTTAGGGGACTATTTAGGTCATTAACTCTTATGATTTTTTCTTTTGAGTAATGTTAAAGATAGAGAACACATTAGCTAGTTAGTGTTTTGCAAAACATAGTGTGTTTACTTAACAGTTTAATCCCTCAACGTTATTTGTCCACAAAATTTGTATCAACTTGTGAAAAAGCAATTGGATTAGGTCAACAGTTAATGTTTTTTGCATGCAGATAGGGAGAAGTAGTGACACCATTATGAAACTGGGGTTGTAACTTGTGAAGTTACCACATGTGGATTTGACTCTTGGGTTGGGTCAATAGAGTGAAAAATTTACATATACTAGAGTTACGTGACTAAGTAGTCACTTGACGAGTGATATACTCGAGTCGATAAAAAGAAAAACTTGCATACACTAGAGTCACGTGACGAGTGATATAGGAAGAGGGATATATACACCCGACTGCAGGATAGTTTTTCTAGTCAATATGGTGGTTGGTGAGCCACATTCATCAGCACCGGTACATTCAAGCATTTTGATTTTAGCTTCCCTAAACCTTAATAATGAAAAGGAATTGGGGTCGTTGGAATATTTATATCCAAAATCCAGAGGAAATTAAATTGAATGTAGCTTTTTTTTTTTGTTCTTTTTTTGTTTTCTGTTGGTTGATTGCGAATTGTCTATGTCCTAGGTCTTTTTATTGCTTTTGAGTTGCGTTATTTTCTAGATCTAAATTTGTTGTATTGCTTCTTGGAAATCGGATATAGAACCTCAAAAATATATAAATAAATGTTCTTAATCACTTGAGTTACAACTTCCTTGCGAACTACTTTCTTCTTATTTGTATGTTTTTTGAGAGGTTGTGGTTGTTGGTAGACAACTGAGGGGGTAGGTCTGAACTTGAATTCAACGTCCTTGGGAAGCAACAGATTAGGTGCTGTCACTTAAAGGACTAAGACCAAATTAGCTTTCCATTTACAGGCGTTGCAGGGAAAAAAAAAAAAATTTAATTAATTAATTTTCTTGTTCAAACTACTGTGGAGCCTGACATAAGTGCACGCGATCCATAAATTATTGTCATGTTTGAATGATTTTCTATGTTTATGGTTTTATTTATATTTTCTTAAAGAATAATACACTACTCTAATCACATTTGTATACCATCTTATGTGGCAGATGAGGTGGACAGCTACATTAATTAAAATTATTTAAGAATAATACTAGTCTTACCACATTTTTTATGCCACAATTTTATACCACATGATGTGGCGACTGATGTGTACATACCACATCATGTAAAATACTAGTTTCTATTTTTCTAATTTTATTTATTAAAATACACTTCATTCATTTAAGAATAATACTACTCTTACCACATTTGTATACCACATCCCTATACCATCTTATGTGGTAGCTGAGGTGGACAGCCACGTCAATTAAAATTATTTAATATTTTCTTTTCTTTTATGATTTATTCCAATATTTGTTTTTCTAATTGTCTTAATTAAAATACACTTTATTGATTTAATTGATGTGACATATAATATGGACATGCCACATCATGTGGTACAGAAATATGAGATAAAAATGTGGTAAATATAGCATTACTCTTCATTTAATTGCTATATCATATAGACATGCCACATCATGTGGTATAGAAATGTGAAATAATAATGTAGTAAGTGTAGCATTACTCTTTATTTAATATTTTCTTTTCTTTTATGATTTATTCTAATATTTGTTTTTGTAATTATTTTAATTAAAATACACTTCATTGATTTAATTGATGTGGCAAATAATATGGACATGTCACATCATGTGGTATATAAATGTGAGATAAAAATGTGGTAAGTGTAACATTACTCATTTTTAAATTAGTATTAAATTACTGAAATACCCTCGGATGTAGAGAAAATATGCATGACACATGACAAATTTTAACAAAATTTCGGATGAAGTTAGTCCCATATGGCAAGTCATGAATTATTAAAAATTAAAATGATATCTCTCTTAAATTATTTGTAATAAGTATTATTAAGAATAAAGGTTGTTTAGTGTTCGAAAATTCAAAATCTAATTGGAATTATTATGACTTTAATTACTGATGAGTTGAGTGGGAGCTTCTTGCTTTTCTGTCTAGGAATCAATCCTCATTAGAAGGGGCCATAAAATTGGCGGGCTTCAACTTGCATCCAAGTGTCTACAATGGGGCAATGACTTATGGCGGGGTCGCGTTAGAAATGGCATCCAAGTGTCGGCATTTTTCCTTCTAGAAAAAAAAGGTGTTTTGCTTTTGGTTTGGTATACAAAGCTATGTGCTAAAATAATGCAAAAATTCCAAGTTGACGTTGTCTTCCATACATCTCACCCTCAGATGAAAGCAACAAAATAATCAGCCAATTAGAGGTTGATATTCTAATAATACACCATAGTGAGGGGTTATAATGAAATGGTTCAATCCAGCAGTCCAAAATAACTACGCACTAGATCAGACAACTATTAAGGAACCCCTCATTATCAGCCTTCACTTTTACCCCTCATTATAGCCTCCCTGTATACAAGACTAACAAAGTGGGTACATTTCATGTGCAATCATGGTATATATAATATGGATATTATTGTCTAAACTTAGAAGATGAAGGAGGACTATTTATAAGAAGTGATGACTAAAACATATCCCTCATAATCCCACAATTTTTAAAGGAATTATGAGAATAAGTTTTAGTCATTAACCTCTTATAGATAGTCCCTATTCTTAGGCAACATATCCATATTATGCAACTTATTTATTCACATAAGTAATACACGTGACGAGAAAGATAAAAGAAAGGAGGACGTGAAACTAAAATAAATAAATTCTTCCCTGAATTAATGAATTCATAAATTAGTAAACTGTTTTAAACATAAAGTTGATATATGAAAAAACATGTAATTGGGCTTGCGTAAGAACATGGACAAAGGAGTTCGAGGATCTCCTCCTGTTACACCAAGTCCATAAATCTTTGAGGGATCTTAGTACAATGAGAAGCAAAGGCCCAAACTCCAAAAAGCTAGCCCAGAATGCTTCTGTGAATCATGACCGTATCTCCTCCCTCAAGACCGTATCTTGGATTGAAGAAGGTCAACTCCCATGTCGTTGTATTTGAAGGCATATGAGCCCAAATGGCTGTTGAACAACATAATTCACAATTTTCTTACTGTTGCAAACATATATTTAAGAAGCAATTAATCCCTTGGAGAATTGAGGCATTATCTGTTCACATTGTTTCTGAAGTTTTATATTACCTATTGTTTTTGAAGTACTTATTTATATTTTCTTGAGTTGTGTTACTGTCAGTCGTGCGTAGACGCATGATATAATCTGAGTCATTGATGATAGCATTTATCATGCAACCATGTCGATCAATTGACGATAACACTTACAAAGACGCCTGAATAGAAAACCAGCCTAGATTAAAGAAATAAGTAACAAATAATCATATAATTAATTAAAGAGAGGGAAAGGTTATAATATTGATGGGCAAAACACAGCTCTTGCATTCAAAGATAGATAGGGCTGCTGTTTTGTTAGCACCAACAGCCACGTCATTGATTGCCACCATGAACTTTGATTGCCACACCCACAGATTGTTGAACCAGAATTTGATGGCGTCTTGGAGATTAGCTTATTATTTTATTTCTATTCAACTTCTGCCGGCCTCACATAGTTTATTCAAATTGGAACGATCTATATGGATGGATCAACTTCGAGCCAACTGAGGAATGTAGTTGTAGAGTAGATTCAAGTCACAATCTATTGACGAATATTATCAGATTCAGATTTATAAAAGTTAAAATCCAACTTTTCCCATCAAACAAACAAAAGACAACTACTCCAAGCCCTTCCCCATTTTATACTCAAGTTTGACGATGCATTTGAGTAAAGAACAAAATTTGGAGACGAGCACTGCGTATGCAAGCTTAAAATTTAACACCAAATCCTTGTAAAAAATATAATCTGATTCTCATATCTTAAAAATACCATTTAATTATGTGTTCCCTCCAAAACTCAATTCCCTTCAAAATTTAGCACAATTTGGGGATCTCCCAACATTCAACTTAATATGATAAATTATTTTAGGGATTTCTTAAATTTGAGGAAAGTATGAGGATAGATTGGAGCTATACATGTCAATGGATCGGATTTTGATCCGAATCTGGTGTAATTAATAGGAGATGGATTGAACTTCTGAATCCGATAATATGATTACAATCCGAATATGATAATCCAATTATAAATGGATTCATATATGGATTATAGTTTATCCGATCCGACTATACTTTATATTAAGATTTTATATGTGTAAATGAGTAATTTTTGTTTTATATGCACTAAGATTACACTCAAAACTAATTTTTATGATAAAATATCAAATTTTGATATGAAAAGTATGTAAATACAATATGAAAAGTAGCCCCTAAAAGAACGAGGCTACTAATGAAATTTTGATATTTTGAACATCTCAAAACAAATTCGATAATAATCCGATTCGATCTAAATCTAGTGCGTAACGGATATGGATTGATAAGTGCAATCCGAAACCGATAGTACGATCCGAATATAATAATCCAATTATAAATTAATTCAAATTTAGATTGAAGTATATCTGATTCGAATCCAACCCGTTTACAAGTCTAATTGGAACACACCTTACGTAATTGGAGATGCTTACTAAAAAATGACATTAAAAAATTAAGAACTACAACTATGCCACCATAACCACCGCCACCACAACCACCACTGCAACAACAACCAATACTAGCAACACAGCCGCCACGAGTAAATAGTTTCATATTTCTGAAGTACCAATATAAACCATTTTGTGAGCACCATATCAATACAAGCTCCTTCTGTGCATATCAATACCCAATTCTCATTGATCTTTTTAGTAATTCCATTAATCTATCGGGCTCGAAATTGGGTATCCCTATTCCGGTGGTGCCGAAGGAGTGTAATCATATCCATGTGGTGGCGGAGCAATCGGAGGCAGAGGAGGATCATATGGTGGTGGAGCATATGGCGGCTGAGCATATGTCCGCTGCACATACGGCGGCTGAGCATACATCAGCAGAGGATGCGGCGGTGGTGCATAAAGCAGTGGAGCGTACGGGGGCGCCGCCGGTGAAACGGTGACTTTATCGCTGAACTTGTAAGAGAAGTGGAGTTCACCTTTGGGCTTTCCTGATGGTTTTCTGACAACTTGGTAAGCCGCAAACGTCATGGTGCACTTACTGGGGTCAGCCATGGCGTCGAAAAGCTCCTTAATGGGAGAAACGACTTGGCCTATGTCCTTGTCGCCGAGAAGGCGGCGCTTGCAGACGAGCCTAAAGAGGAGGGCGAGGCGGTTCTGCTGGGCCAGGTACTCGTCGATGGTGAAGTTCATGGGAAAGTTGTTCCACTTGGGATGAGTGCCGCAGTTTCTGACCGCCAAGGTTTTGGTTTTCTGCTGGCTGCGGTGGTCGCAGCCGAGGACTGAAACGACGGCGTATACGGACATCTTGGTAAAGAAATTGACATCATCTTTGAGGTCTTTGGCTGAGATGAGTTCCAGTTGTACCGTCCTCTGCTCCATCATTTTCACATAGAGAGAGAGAGAGAGAGAGAGAGAGAGAGATTAATTCAAGTATATACGTACTCAAAGCGGCTAAAATAATAATTCGAGTATTTTGGTTAAAGTTAAACATGATTCTTTCAGTAATGGCTTTTTTTGTGGCTAATTTGTTTAAAAACGGATTCATTATTAGAATCGTAATAAGAATGTAATTAGTATTCTCTTAGTAGTAATATATTATCATACACGAGTCTATGTTGTTACAAAAATCTAAAAAAAATAAATTTGGTTGACTAGTCTTTGTTTTGAGCATAAGGAGGGTAATACAACAACAACAAAAAAAGAAAAAAAAAAAAAAAAGAAGAAGAAAAGGATCATGTGCATCCAAATTATCCTTTTTATTTTTATTTTTATTTTTGTTTTTGTTTTTATATTGAGAAATGGCCAATCGAACACACAACTTTGGATACATGGATACATATGCTCTTAATCACTTGAGCTACAAGTTATTTTCAACCTTTTCTTGTTAGTTACTTATAATATTTATCTTTCGAAAGAATGATACAGTAACAGTAATTTCAGTATCTATTTGATTCACGTAATAAGTTAAAGAAACATGAGATTTCAATGCCGATTGTTGAGAATGAAAGTCAGAAAATACTCTTGATCCATTTTTTCAATCATAGATAGAGGGGTTCAAATTTACATATAGAATTTTATGATTAACTTGTAGATATATCAAGAGATTTGTAGCTCAAGCAGTTAAGAGCATCCAATAAGAACCGTTGGATCGTAAAGTACATTTAATATGAATCGTTGTTTTCTCATCATGTTTTTGCACATAATTCAAAATCCGACATAATAGGATGTGATATCATCTTAAACCGTTGAATCATATTCTCGTATCTTCATCTCAACTCCCTTATCGATATCTCAGATATCATCGATTTTTCTATAAATATCAAAGACATGTTTACCATTACACTAAAAACATTCATCTCATATGAATATCTCTCTCCTCCTCCACAATACAATGAGCCAACAAAACTTGTTTGACACCGATTCTGAAGAGGAAACGATGGAGGAGAGATGATTGTCAAATGAGAGATATCACATAAAAAGAAGAATATTCGGTGAAGGCAACACACGCTGGTTAAATTTAGTGAGCTAATAAGTCCTTAAAGCCGCGCCATCATCATCAAGACGAATAGTTTGGAAGCAGTACCACTGTTCCTTCATCAGGGTCAAGACATATGTATCAGAATTAGGACAACATATGGGCCGCAGGATTGCATTGCCGCCTTTGCATCAGCCTCTAAGAACTAAGATAGACACACATGCAGTCAAGCGAAGCTCAGCACCAAGTCTGTATATTCCTTCAAGCACAAGCATGCAGCATATGCAGCCTCTAAGTTCATGCCAATTGGAATAACTTAATTACGATAAATTCTCCTATGCGCTCAACATATTGCACTGAATGCTATCCAATATGGGGGGATAAATGAAAGTTACGAAACAAAATCGATGACTAGGAAATTTTCGATACACTAACTTAACTTGGACTTTTTTTTGGGAGCAAACCCTTCTAGCTCTCCGAATCACATAACATTTGAAATTTGACTTCACTGGATTGGAGCACACTTCATAGGTTAAGTTTAGAGAATGATTTAAGAGAGAGGAACATACAATCCAAAAATTAACAACAGCCGCCGCAACCATCACAAACACCAACACTAAATACGAACAGAGTTATCCTCAGCAGCAGACCAATACGACGGTGGGCTCGGAGTTGCCCGCGTTGCCCCACGGCCAGGGGAGGGTATTCTGGCGCGGTACCGGGTACTTGTAAATGTATCCCCGCGGCAGTGCAACGGTCACTTTTTCCCTGATTATAAGCTCCCCACAAATGCTAATGGAGTACAGGACCCTAGAAGTGGAACTCAACTCAGCCATTAGCCATAGAGCTGAAAGACATGAAATTCTTTACCAAGATGTCCGTATATACAGTGTCGTTTCCATCTGGGGCGGCGACTCCCACGGGGAGCGGAGACTCACAAACTCCGTGGTCCGAAACTGCGGCACTCATCCCATCGTGGATTAACATGCCCATGCAGTTCACCATGGACGAATGTCTGGTCCAGGGGAGTTACCTCGTCTGCCTGCGTGATGTCGAAAAGTTTCAGGGGAGCAACCGCTTGGCCTATGTACTACGGGGCTAAATTTTTGGCTAATTTCTTTCAAACGCAAGCTATTAAAATCATGTACGAAGTAAAAATGCAAATGACTGAATGTTGTTAAAAGATTACAAATTTTAACAAAAAAGAAAAAAAAAGTTCAGGTTAACTTGTCTTTTCTGAGCATAGAGGAAGGTTGAACGCTTGATAGTATGATACACATGGCATAATTCGTTGGGTTAATCGTTTTATTAGTCCTTGGTATTTGAGTACCTCAATTTCTAAAATGGTTTCCGTGGTCCTTTAACTTAGTTTCATTTGGACAAATAGTCTTGCCGTCAATTTTGTTAACTTTTTCTGTTAAATGCATGGGCAAATGGGTATTTTTATATTAAAACCGAAAAAATGAATAAAAAATCATATCTTTAAAATAACAATAAAATCAAATCAAATAAAAAACCAACAAAAAAGAAAAAAGAAAAATCAAGTTTTTGGGGAGTAGAAATCCGGATAGAGGGGGAGAGAGAGTTTAATTTTAATTTTTTATTCATATTTTAATGAATTTTGATACAAAAATACTATTTTGCCCCTAGATTTAACAGAAAATTTATCAAAATTGATGGCAGTACCATTTGTCCTAACAAAACTGAAGTTAAAGGACCACTGGAACCATTTTGGAAATTGAGGGATTCAAATGCAAATCGAATCTAAATTCAGGGACTAATAAAACGATTAACCCTAATTCATTTACAGTGTTATAAATGGATGAACAATAGGATTTATAATTCCTACTTTTTAGAGTAAATTAATAAATACCCATTTATATTATAATCCGTGAACAAGTTATGTAATTAAACTCTAGAACTATCCATACTAGCATTGAAATTATAAAATCTAATTCATCGTCACCGACTCACCGTCAAGGCAACTCATGAGTCAAAATCCAAGTCAAATTGATAGATTTTGTTACTTAATTAATTGTAATTTTTACCCTTGGAAAAGAATATTGATGAAGTTAGACTTTCAAAAGGTCTCTTTGGTTGGCCCTTACATATGAGGAGAATGACTCCTTCCATATAAATCGTATTTGATATGCAAAAATAACTCGCTGAGATTGCCTTACAGAGAATGAATTCTTCGCTTTAGATTACAGTTTTTGAAAACTGAAAACAACTTTCGTCCTCTTCAAAAACTATAATGTCATTTTTCTTTTAGAAAAATAAAAAATAAAAAGGTACTTTGCCTTTGGTTTGATGTAGAAGCTATGTACTAAATAATGCCATAATCTCAAGTTAACCTTGTCTTCCATTCACTTCACCCTCAGATAAGCAACAAATCAGCCAATTAGATGTCGATCGATATTCTAATAATACTATTCTTGAGCTGATGATCGATATTCCAATTAGCATTCTCAATTATATATATATATATATATAATATTAATCACTAAGAATGTTTATTTACAAGGAATATAGGAAGTCATGAATTAGGGAGTTATGTCTACTTCAATTAGATCAACTACTTTCCCTAGTTGATCTAATTCCTAGTTTTTAGGATATTTGATTACGAATTTTACCATGAAACTCCCATAATGTTTTACTCCGTATGTGTAAGTAAACGCAGAGGAAGTAATTGGCTCCACGCTTGACATAATGTTTGGATTGAAACTGATTTGTTGTTAGTTACTCAATTCTTTCGCTCTCCTCATTTGGTTCCTTGGTGCCTACAGGTTGATTGGCAAAATTGCTTGCATTGTCTCCAGCACATGTCATTTAAGATTTCTCATATCTTTCGTGAGGGTAATCATGCAATTGTTGCTTTGGAAAATCACGATGCTTTTGGGCTTTGGTTTCACATGGTGGGACACTGCACCTTCTTTTATTTTGTCTTTTATTCATCGAGATTGGTTGGGAGTGCCCAATTACTGTTTTATTTAGTCTCTCTTTTTGTTTACTCTTTCAGAGTTTTGGTCTCTTAGGTTAGTATGTTGTTGTGCCTTTCTGTCATTGTCTTTCTTTTATGCTGGGTTTTGGTTGGTTCCCCCCTGATGTTCTTGTATTTATTTATGTTTCTTATCAACCTGCGTGGCGTCGAAAAGATCTTTCAAGGGAACAACTACTTGGCCTATGCGTTTGTCGTCTAGGCTGCGCCGGCAGACGAGGTCAAAGACAAGGTGGAGGTAGCTCTTTTGGACCAGACACTCATCCATGGTGAACTGCGCATGTATGGGCTTGCTATTCCACGTGGGATGAGTGTCGTAGTTTCGGACTACGGAGGTTTTGGTTCTTTGCTCGCTGTGGGAATCGCCACCCAGGACAGAAATGACGGTGTATACGGACATCCTAATAAAGAAGTTCACATCTTTCAGGCATTTGGCTTAGTTGAGTTCCACTTCTACTATCTTGTAGCTGTACTCCTTTTTTTTTTTTTTTTTTTTTTTT